TTTTCCTTCCTTCCTTCCTTCCTTCCTTCCTTCCTTCCTTCCTTCCTTCCTTCCTTCCTTCCTTCCTCTTCCTCTTGCTCTTGCTCTTCCTTGTTCATTCAGTTCTTGTTTATAAGATACCACTGTTATTTTATTACCATGTCCCTGAAGGAACACTATTTTTTGTTCCTTATTATGTCCAGGAAAAAGTGTTTAGATTATAATGAAATGTAAATCCCTAACATAAATATTAAGATATTTATATTTGGGCAGAAGCAAGCGTATCTCTACTTTTTTAATCTCTTCTTTTTGTCTTGTAAAGAACTTCTGATCTTTAATCATAATGAAGATTTGATTGATTGATTGATTGATTGATTGATTGATTGATTCCCTCCTGCAGATGCCCTGTTCTTGTTCCTTGCCTATTGCATCCACTTTTGGTCACCTCTTTTTTTTCCCCCTTCCCTTCCTAGAGTATTTATTCCCTTTTATTGCCTCTCAATCTCTTTCTGCCTGCCTTTTCTTCTGAAAGGAAAGAAGAGAATGTAGACATAAGGTTTTTTTGCATCTTAAAATCTGTGCAAGCTTCTAGTCCTCAAGGTTGCAAAGCAGTTTGAAAATATGTGAACGTAGTAAAGGAAATAATGCCCTCATCACAATGTCTGGGAGTCACTTCAAAGGTGAAGTGCTCCTTTTTAATTCCAGCCAGGCTTGCCCTCCTGTAAACTCTCCCTCCCTTTCTCCCTCATCATACTCAACAGGCATTTTGTGAGAACCCCAAACTTTTTCTGAACTGTTGAAAATTGCACGTGGTCTCCGAGCCTGCTAGCTTGTCTGTCATGTCCATGAGGGTCATGTAAGGACCTGCATTTCAGAGAACGGAGATTCCTATCATTTTATGTTCACGTCGCCTGTCACCAACTATAATTTAGGTTGGATAATTTAGGAAACCAGAATGAAAAGTCCTGCAGTATTTCTACCTGAAAATTAATGGGTGTGGGAGGGCAATATTTTTTCACAGCCATCAACAGTAGCTGTCCTCTGATGTGCACTTATAGCCACAAAGCCTAAAAAAAGTAATAGAAAGTTGTGCTTGACTAAAGCTTTCAATACTTCATTGCTTTGCCTGAACTTCATTGTCCTTCATGCTATACTTTTCTGCTTCAGACAATCCTCTCTGAAGTTGTTTGCCAAGGATAGAGAACCTGCAGTCCTTCAAAAATGCTGCTGACCTAAAACTCCAACTTGGCCCTGACCAGCATGGATAATAGAGAGGGACGATGTCAGTTAGTTTAACCCTATCTGGAGAACAGCCCACTCACTCCAGGCCTTTACAGACCTAGATTCACACATCACACCAAGCTGTGATGGGCTTAACCATGTTTTACTGAATAAGCTGCAATATGCTGAGTCCACCCTTTGCACTAAGCTCCAACCAAACAGACCCAGCCGCTGACTAATGGTGGTTCTTCAAGATATGCAGCAGGAACTTGTTTTCCATCTCTAGAGTAATGCTAGTGATTTAACCTGAGATTCTCTGAACAGGACATGTAATCTACCAACGAGCAGCTGACCTTCTCCTCTGTTCATCTTCAACCACTCCTTGTTGTCTTGTTTTAGGACAATTTATCATTCCTGTCATTGGTCCTGCTCCTATGTTAGTGGCAAGTATACACAGTTGTGGAAGAAATCCACAACTGCCACCTGGTGGCCTTGATAAACACTCTAGTCCTCCACCTCATCCTCCAATCTGTATCCTCCAGGTGTGCGAACACCAGGATGGAGAAGGCTGCTATAGCCCTGACCGGAGATTATTGGACTGACTTCTAAACCGATATATGGGATTACCTATAAAACTGCTATTATACATCACATTTTATTGGGAAGTAAACCACATTCAACTCCATAGGACTCAGTTCTAGGTAAATGAGGCAGAACATCCTGCTGGAAATGGGCGGGTTTTTCTCACTAACTACAGGTAGTCCTCAACTTAAGACCGTTAATTTAGCAACCATCTGAACTTACGATGGCACTGAAGAAAGTGACTTACAACTAGTCCTTGCACTTACAACCGTCACAGCATGCCTGTCGTCACATGATTGTGATTCAGGCACTTGGCAATCGTCGCATTTATGATGTTTGCAGCATCCAGCAGTCACATGATCACCATTTGCGACCTTCCCAGGCAGCTTCTAACAAAGTCAACAGGGAAGCCACCAGGGAAGGTCTCAAGTTGCGGTCACATGATGTCTTGCTTAACAACCGTGGCAAAAAAGGTTGTAAAATTGGGTGCAATCATATGATGCCTCACTTACCAACTACACTACTTAACAACAAATTTTCTGGTCCCTATTGTGGTCATAAGCCAAGGACTACCTGTAAGCTGAAAAACACTCTGCTTAGAAGCCATGTTTTAGAGCAGAGGAAGATGCAACATATTTTGGCAGGCAGAATCACATTTATGTTTGGGCCACAGCAGGCAGAATTAGAAGGGTTGCACCACACCCATGGATGAGGTCAGGATGTTCTGTTTTTGCTGGGGGTTAGTGAGGAGAGGATGTCTAGGTGTAATTCTTTTTGTTTCTAATCATGATAACCTTCTCTGAGGGCTTCTGCTTCAGTTTGGGAGATTTCAGCTTCAAATTGGTGGGAATAGCTCTCCTCATTTCTGGAATTGTGGCCTGAGGAAGCCTCTAGAGACCACAAAAGGAGGTTCAGAGGCTATATGTGGCCCTGAGTTCTCCCCTCATTTGCCCAGGCCTCCTTTACAAGAATATAGAGCATTCCAAATGTTCCTCTTTATTGGAAAATCAACAACAACAAAATTCATTTGACAGTGCAAAGTTTTAAAAATAATAATAGTTGTTGTTGTTATTATTATTATTATTATTATTCACCTGATAGCTGGACTCTTGTAATGCTTGATATTAAATCAGAAGTGGCTTGACCGCTTGGAGATCCTTTTCATCTTTGATACCTCCAAAAAGCCAAGTGTTTTTAAAGATGTCCTGGTAGATACAGTCTCTCCTGTTAGAAAGCAACTCAAAGATAGCCTGCGGCAAACTAGACAGATCCTGGAACAATATTGAGCAATATTCAATGAAATAGAGTGAGATTGATAATTACACCTGGAGGTTAAAGAAGTAGAGCAATTGACTTGCAGGGGAGAAGGGTGTGTGGTTGGTGGGTCTCCGCTGCGGTGTGCAGTTTTATTTAGGAGGATCACAGCAAGTGGCAGCACGGAGGCAATCACAGCTGATTTCCAAAAGTGAAACAAGACTGGACTTGCTTAAGAGTTGGATGGGAGGCCATCAGGAGATCCAGAGCTGCAGACTAGTCTGGGAAGTCAAATACTTCTAGAAGAAAGAAAACTACTTCTATATATGGCTGCCCAAACCCCAATATGGATGTTTTCATATAGTTATCAAGAATTGGGCTCTATTTGAGGAAGAGTTTACTAAAGTGAGAGGTTCAAAGAATTACATGGAATACAAGTATACCGGAAGACTCTGAAAGCAGCTTTAATGCTGGCTATATCTGACAGCACATGCTTATCGTAACTAAACAGTATTTACACTGATAACACTAAATGTTTTATGTGCACGCATTCTTTTTCCAGGAAATCACACCATAAATATGTTGCCCAGGAAGAACTCCTATCCTTGAGGAAGAAACTGATAACAGAGAAAAATACAAAATAAAAATAATCTAGTTACTTATTTACCCAACATTATATTTAATTTGCTTCTTATTACTTGCAGTATACACTCAGCACAAGGCATTGCCTTTAACTATGCCAGGACCCTTTCTTATTATAATAATTAAGTTGGGGTCCTAGCCTGTTTTCCACTTGTTCCATCTTAAAGAGGTCCCTTAAAGAAATAAAAACGCTCACTCTGATTACCGCTTTCTTTAGGGCTACAGGATCTGAGCTGCAAAAATCCAGATCACCACCAGATGGCAGGAAAGGGACTGCTTTGCTGCCATCCAGATTTGCACACCGCAAATATGGTAGCCTACTGTAGCTCTTGTAAAAAGTTACGGGAAAAATGAGGAAAAAAATGGAAGTGTCACTTTGTGGTAATAACAGACATTGTAGGAGGAAAGTCAATTTGGTTTCTTACATGGTCCACAAGGAGGCAGTAGGTGACCAGGTTCATCCTTACTGGGACTCATCAGAGGGACATAGCCAGATCTTATTCGATGGGATTCAAACCCTCTACCAGAAATTAAAGTCACAGATCTATGCATTTTAGATGACTATAGAGAGACAGGAGTTATCCAGGTCTTCACACTCAGTAGTTGCAGAAAGGGATCCATAGGAGCTCTCATAATGGTATATACCAGTGTTTCTCAACCTCAGAAATGTTAAGATATGTGGACTTCAAGTCCAAATATCTTAAAGTTGCCAAGGTTGAGAAACACCGGTATAGACTGTCCACCTTCCCTTAGGCTCTCAGGGCAGAGACAGATGTTATATTATGTCATGCCCCCATGTCCAGGGTTTTCATGACTTCTGCTTGGGGCAGGAATTTCTCTATTTTTACACAGTGCACATCCGGTGTGGTGTTTTCAGTTATAGTGACCACCAAAAGGCAACACTTTACCAGTTTCATCTTTTTTTTTTTTTGAATCATCAGATGTGGGCAGCCAGATGTTATTCTATGGTGTGCAAACCTTCCACCAGAAATTAAACTCGCAGACCTCCACATTTTAGATGATTACACACAGATGTCTATCTATCTATCTATCTATCTATCTATCTATCTATCATCAATCTATCATCCATCAATCTATAATCTATCTGTCATCCATCTATCTATCATCTATCTATCTACCATCTATCTACCATCTATCTATCATCTATCTATCTACCATCTATCTATCA